CATTTCCCAGTCACAGGCATCTTGCTGTAACTTGCTGTTGGGATGGACTTTGTTATTGTTGTAACTCCATCCAAAAAGAATACATCATCCACCACTCTGATTAGTGTACTACTCACCATGGCAAGGGCCTGATGTTTTCCTGGAAGTTGATGGGCCCATCCTGCTTGAAGAGCACGTAAATATAGCGATGGAAGCCTGTTCCTCTGGCAGGGAAGGGTGGCAGGTAGTGACACAGCTCCTCACCAGCCTGGACTGCTGCGCCCGGTATGTTCCCCCTGCAGAGACATGGGTCATTCGAGGAATCCATGAATAACTCGAAACGAGGTTTATTTAGCTTAGATTTAAACTTGAAGTGAGAAATCAATGACAGTAAGCCAACCAGCATAAAGTGAATGGACTGTAACTTTTTTAGTGCTCATCCAGATGATCTGACGAATCAAAACATCTTACACTTCAAGTTAAGAGCAGACAACAAAGCTCTGTTTTATTCCATTTCCTTCTTAGGGTTCGCCTTGCTGGGGAGCAAACAAATGCCCTAATTATTAGTTTGTCACCAGCTCCACCTTATGAGCCTCAGTCTGAGCACCACCTGTGTGTGAGACCTTTGGCACAGATTTTTTTTTTTTTTTTTAATCTCTGAAAGTCTACCGCAGCGATGGAACACAATTCTTTCAAAAGTCACTCCATCATTTGGTGTTTGGTTTCTGTTGGTAGAAAGCAGTTTCAAAATCTCTCACAGGTGTCACACCTTATTATTGAGTGTTCCTCAGTCCTGACAGAGACCACTCAAGTAAACACAGAAAGGTTTATTTGCAGGATAAAACTGATTACGCAGAACAAACACGTACCAATTTGACTGTGTCCTCAAGCAGACCAATACATGTGGAAAATACTAGTGTAAGAGGATGAAAACCCTGCTCCCACAGCAGAACACAGCCACCAGATTCTCTTGCTGAAGGGGTTGTGCAGCAGTTGGCCTCAGTTGGCCACAAGATGTCTCTTTTTACACAGAAACTGTACTTACTACACTGATCAGAATCAGAATCATTTAATAATCAATATGGAAATTATGTACTTGGATTATAAACTAGTTTTGACATCTAAATCTTACTCCTGTGAGACAAAGCTCTGTAAATGCAGCACTCTGCACCATGAAGCTCACACAGTTAAACAGTGCGCCCCAGGGTGGCTGTGGCTACAATGTAGCTGCCATCACCAGTGTGTGAATGTGTGTATGAATGGGTGGATGACTGGATATGTAAAGCGCTTTGGGGTACATGGGGACTAGTAAAGCGCTATATAAACACAGGCTGTTGGAAAGGCTGTCAGCTGTGTGGGGGGCCCCCTTGTGGCGAGAAAGCACAGTTGCACTATTGAGCACATGTTCCAGTGATCAGAGTTGGAGCTAGCACATAGCAAGAGCCGCCTGGCAGACTGACTCTGCAGGGGATGTCTACACACGGTGTGAGTTGTGTGCGTCGCTAAAGAACTGTGAGTAGACGTGGAGCCATGCCTGAAAAGGACAGTTTTAGTCTTTTATGCCAATTAGACATTTAGTAGATGTAGAAGTGCAATGTGTATCGACCTGTTCGCTATGTGGCTAGTTCATGCTACTAATGCTACCTGTTATGCTACATACCTGCTAGCTGTAAGAAAAAAGAAAGAGATGCTTGGTGTGCGAGAGAGCACAGTTGCACTATTGAGCACATGTTCCAGTGATCAGAGTTGGAGCTACACATAGCAAGAGCCGCCTGGCAGACTGACTCTGCAGGGGATGTCTACACACGGTGTGAGTTGTGTGCGTCGCTAAAGAACTGTGAGTAGACGTGGAGCCATGCCTGAAAAGGACAGTTTTAGTCTTTTATGCCAATTAGACATTTAGTGGATGTAGAAGTGCAATGTGTATCGACCTGTTCGCTATGTGGCTAGTTCATGCTACTAATGCTACCTGTTATGCTACATACCTGCTAGCTGTAAGCTAAACGATTTGGTGTTTGTGATATATTGTTGTTGGGTGTATTGGCAATCAATGTCATGTACTGTAAGGGTTTGGGAGTAGTGTATGAAACTCGTGCATGTAGATGTTCATATAGGAATTCCCATTTGTAGTTCTGGTTAGATTCGAAGAACGCTAATGCATCATAATTCATGACTTAGATGTTTATTACATTCAGTATTCTGTATATGTTCTGTTCACAGACCACACACACCCACACCCCTCACCACTCTGTAAGCCTGCGGTTGCATTACTGTGTTGCTGTACTGTGCTGTTAAGCTGAGGAATCACAGTAAAGACGGTATAACCTTTATCTGTGCGTCCTGTGTGTTCTGACCGACACCCCAAGGTGAACACCACTGCTATTCAGCCAACGCACTATACTAGCTCCTGCGGTTCAACCCAAGATGTCAGACAATTGGTCCTTGCACGTAGCCAGTCGACTGGTGTCTGTTCACAGTATCCTCCGTCGTCATACCGCTACAAGATGACAGTCCTAGTTTGCGATTCTGCCAGTGAAAGATGTCGTGACATGATATGACCAGCATCTCGCCCGAAGTGCGCCAAGTAATATCAACCTCCTCCCTAGCCTTATGTCAGACTATGGGATGGTCTGAGCTTGGTTAGGCGCCTACCTATATCTCGATCTGACATTCCATGGACAGAACCACCAACGAGACATGACACCCTACCGTCACTCGTACACAGCACAGTATGCACCCGGGCTAGAAGAGCGAAAGCAGTACGTGCCATCGGCAGTGTCTGTACAGACCTCCCGCTCGTCTAGCCCAACAAGTCAGCCTGGATGGGAACACACCGTGGATGAATGGACCGCTTCCTCGAATGATCTGCAGGATATGCGGCAGCATGTGCCCAGTAGGGATGGCCTGAACCATCAGCCTCCTTCTCCTTTCCATCGACCATGGGAAATGTCTGCAGTTTCGGGTTCGCAGTATGGTATGAATGGCAGACCTCAGCCTTACGCCCAAACACGTGAACCAGACAGAGGTGGTTACCTGTCGGAGCAACGGGACCAGAGATCACCCCCAACACATGTACCCCCTCTGTCTTCCTCCCAACGTATGCAGCCCATCAGTGTCCCCACGATTAGTTCCCATACACATAGAATAGATGCACGAACGAGTCCATGGCCGCAGTATGACAATAGGCAGGACATCCATGCTCAACAAGAATACCAAAGGCCATACTTTCGCCCACCATCAGCTCAGAGTATTCCACCCAAGGATACTACAATGATTGATACATTGGATAGGATGATGGGTGAACTACAGCTGTTAAAGGAGCAGACACTGACAGCTAGTCGGCCAACCCCGCCATTCCCCAACAGTGCACCTTCCTTTCGGTTTGAACATCCACCTATCATTCCGCAACATTTGAAGCCTCCTTGGCAGGAGCAGTTTTCTGCTAGGGCTTATCCCAGTTTCCAGAGTCAAGCCCCCACCAACATCTGGAGCCAGCAGCCCGTCGCCGAGGTATCAAGACCTATCACAACATCATCGCAATATAAACCTCATCCATCCCCAGCCTACCAGCCACCACATGTAATGGCACAAGAGAAAACATACAGGGGTCCAACTCCAAGTATTCCTGATCTCATTAAGAAGGACCCAAGTGAGTTTGCCCGGTTAAAGATCGCACTTGACAATCTACTGCCACCGGATGGGACAGAGCTTTTCAAGTTTCAGATACTGATGGATCATTTGAAACTAGATGAAGCACGTCTCATAGCTGATGCATATCTCAATTCTCCATCCCCCTATACTGACACCATGGCAGCCCTATCGGAGAAGTTTGGTCAGCCCCACCAGTTAGCCCTCAGGAAGATTGCCGGTGTTATGGATGCACCGGACATTCGTCACGGGGATGTGGAGGCTTTTGAAAGATTCGCACTGCAGATTCGGGCTCTCGTTGGTATGCTGAAGACCCTTGGTCCGGATGGTGAAGTGGAACTGAAATGTGGCTCTCACGTGGCACGGCTCCTCAGTAAGCTGCCAGCTGAAATGAGGTCTGAGTTCCGGAGACACATGTGTCGCCATCCAGGGGTAGTATACAACCTAACAGACTTTTCAGACTGGTTACAGCTGGAAACATGGTGCCAAGATAGCAGTACCCAGCTTGGGGCTACAGGGCAGAAGGAGAGGGTCATCCAGAAACCAGAGCGCCTGAGAGAGGCGAAGTCAGTAAAGCGCATGGCCACTATCCTGCATGGCTCAGAGAATCTGCCGACGAAGCAGCCTGTCGAGTCGGTGAGCAGCAAACCAGCTGTCCATAGCAAGAAGAAAGGCCCGCTGAAAGCTTACTGCCCCTACTGTGATACGGAGGACCATTATCTGAGTCAGTGCCCCATATTCCAGTCGTTTGATAAGGCTCAAATCATAGACTGGATTAAGACAAACCAGCGTTGTTGGCGATGTGGCAGATCACATCAAGCAGCACAGTGCAATCTGAAGAAAGCTTGCAGCCTATGTCAAGGCAAACACCTTCAGATCCTGCATGAGGTCAACGCCAAGAGTGTGAAGGAAGGTACTTGCCTGGTGAGCTCTGCAACTGAAATACTCCACCTAGATAAACCTTCAGATTCTACCCGTGTTCTGCTTAAAGTGATTAGAGTTCTCCTGAGAAATGGTGACAAAACTCTGGACACTTATGCCATCCTGGATGATGGCTCTGACCGCACCATGCTGCTCTCCTCTGCAGCTCAGCAACTGGGCCTAACAGGCACACCTGAAGACCTCGCCCTGAGAACTATCCTCAGGATATCCAAACGTTACATGGGGCCTGCGTTTCATTCACACTGTCCCCTATCATGCAGCCCCAGAAATCCTTCCACATAGCTAATGCCTTCACTGCCCAGCGGCTTGGCTTAGCTGAGCATTCATATCCAGTTACCATGCTCAAGAGAAGGTACAGACATCTGAAGGACTTGCCCCTACAAACCTTCAGCAGAGTTTCGCCCCTGTTGCTAATGGGCATCACCCTCATAAACCCTATAGAGCCTGTGCGCTTTGGATCACCAGGAGGGCCAGCTGCGATGCGAACCCGACTAGGATGGACTCTGCAAGGGCCTGCAAAGTCGCTTGAGTCACAGTTAGAGTCTCAACAGTGTCTGTATACCTCCTGCAGCCCCCTATCTGTTGAACTCCAGAGGAATGTGGAGAAGCTGTGGCAAGTGGATGTTCTACCATATAAGAGTGAAAAGGAGGTGACAAGGTCGAAGGAGGATCATGAAGCCCTTCAGATATTGGAGGCCAGAACAAGGCGCGTGGATGTTAAGGGAGTGCTCCGGTATGCCACACCCTTATTGAGGAGGAAGGATGCACCACTTTTTCAGGCCACCCAAGAGGCGACACTGCCCAGCCTGAGGAGTATGGAGAGACGTCTGAGCAAAGACCCGGTTAGGGCTGCTGCATATATGGACGAGATTGAAAGGTTGGTGACCTCTGGGTTTGTAGCCAAACTGCAACCGGAGGTTGCCTCTCAGAGCCAAGAGAGTTGGTACATACCTCATCACATGGTCCAGCACAATGGCAAGAATAGAGTGGTCTTTAATTGCTCTTTTCGACACAAGGGACTTAACCTGAACGAGTCCCTATTGCCTGGCCCTGTCCTGAGCCCTTCTCTGGTTGGAGTGCTCCTGCGCTTCAGAGAACACAGCATTGCCATCAGTGGTGACATAAAAGGGATGTTTCACCAGGTGTGCCTACTCCCGGAAGACAAACCGCTCCTGAGGTTTCTTTGGCGCAATATGAATCGGGATGAGCCCCCTCACAGCTATGAATGGCAAGTCCTTCCCTTTGGGACAACATGTAGTCCCTGCTGTGCCTCCTTTGCGCTACAGCGGCATGTCCTCCTGCATAGTGAACCAGGAGAGGAGGTGAGGTTCTCCATCGAACGGTGCTTCTATGTGGACAACTGTCTACAGAGTGTTTCATCGATTGAAGAAGCCCAGCAGTTGGTCAAGAAACTACGGCAGCTTCTGGCTTCCGGGGGCTTTGAAATTCGGCAGTGGGCTAGTAATAGGCCAGAAGTGATTAGTCATCTGCCATCCGAGGCACGGTCAGACAAACTGGAACTCTGGCTGTCACAGGACCGACAAGAAGCGCATGAATCAACCCTGGGACTGAACTGGAACTGTGAGACGGACACCCTCAGCCTCAAGCACCGACCCATTGACTATGGAGAGCCCACTATGAGGAACATATATCGAACCCTGGCTAGTCAGTACGACCCACTTGGGTTCATCATTCCCTTCACCACCAGGGCCAAGATTATTGTACAGCAACTCTGGGACAAGCATCGAGATTGGGATGACCCCCAGTTACCTCATGATTTGCTGCACCAGTGGAAGACATGGAAGGGGGAGTTGGTGCATTTATCAGAGTTAACATTGCCACGATGTTACACACTGCCGCACATGGATCTGTCTGACATTGCAAGAGAGGTACATATCTTTTGCGATGCATCAGAGCGAGCCTATGGCTCTGTGGCTTACCTGAGATCAGAAGATCATTATGGTAATGCGCAGCTGTCATTCCTCATGGCCAGATCACGGGTTGCTCCAAGGAAGCAGATATCTATTCCCAGACTCGAACTCTGCGCTGCACTCACTGGAGCCCAGCTCGCAAAGCTACTTCAGACAGAACTAACGTTCAAGGTGACCACATGTACGCTGTGGTCTGATTCAACCACTGTCCTCAACTGGTTGCATTCCACATCCTGCCATTTCAAGGTGTTTG